GTGTCCGTGCAGGAGAGGGCGAAAGCGGCGGTGGCCGTCATCCACAAGGTGGCCACCAAGTCCGTAAACGTAAAGGGCTCGTTTGTGAGGGCCCTTAAGGACTCCTCCTCCGCTTTGTCGGAGGTCGTGGTGGAGGGCCTGGTGGGCGATATCTTTCGCCTACAGTTGGCCAACGAGAAACTCACGGAGCGGGTGAACGAGCTGAGCGCTCAGTTCGCCCGCTTCCAGGCGAGCCTCCCCGAGCGGGAAGCCCCGTCCGCGTCCCAGCCTGCCCCTACCACCAACTCAGGGGCATTTGACTCCCAACTGCGTGAAATCCTCATCGCAGTTGGGAATATGCCGGACGGACGCCTGGCTGGCCTGGGGGCGAGACTGCCCCCTGCGCCGGTTGTGCGCCCCCCGCTCGCGTCGGCACAGCGGCCTAAGGCCGCCGCTCCGACCGCGCTCAGGGGGTCAGGATGCGCCTCGCCCAGACGGGAGCTCGAGTCCTCGAGTTCCCTGGGGCTGAAGGCGCTAAGACGGCAGACTCGTTTGCTGAGAGGCTGCGGGGTATATTCGCGACCACAGATGGTGTGAGGGTCGCCAGGCCTACCAAGTGCGCGGAGCTGCGCATCTCGGGCCTGGCCGAAGATGTCCGCGCTGTAATCCGGGAGAAGACGGGGTGCAGCGCGGATAACGTCAGGGTCGGCACCATCCGCCCCGGTCCAGGAGGGCTTGGCGCCGTGTGGGTCAGCTGTCCCGTAGCGTCGGCCAAAGCATTGGCCGACGCCGGCGGGCTGCTCATCGGTTTCGTGAGCGCCAGGATCACAGTCCTGGCGGCGAGACCGATGAGGTGTTTTAAATGCCTGGCCACGGGACACACGCGCGTCAAGTGCGATAGCTGTTTTGACTGCGGCGGACTGTGTTTCCGCTGCGGTCAACCGGGGCATAAGGCGGCAGAATGCTCTGCCGCCCCTCACTGCCCAGCGTGTGCGGCGGGCAAGAAGCCCGCCAATCACCAGATGGGGCAGAGAGGCTGCAAGCCTCCCCGCAATTCTCGGCAGACGTCGGAGCTAGCCAGTCGACCCAGGCTACCTCCGACATCCCTCGTGCGTCGACATCATCGCCCATGGAGGAGGTTGTAGAGACAATCCAGTAATGGACCAGGTCTCCCTCCTCCTCTTCCAGACGAAACTCAGCCACTGTGCCGCGCCAGGATCTCTTCCTGCAAACCATAGCACAGTGGTCGATAGGTATTGCCGTAGTCGCGGAGCCCTATTTTGTCCCTCCCCGTCCAAACTGGATGGGTGACTGGGACGGTTCCGTGGCAGTCGTCGGTTCCACGGCGGCTCATTCCCCGCCCTTGTCGCTAAGAGACAAGGGCACTGGATATGTTGCCGCCGAGTGGGGGGGGGGGGGATATGGTGTTTATTTCTCCCCCAACCGGAGTTTGAGCGACTTCGAGGTTTTCCTAACCAGCTTGGAGGCCTCGATACGGCGACTAGCGTCTGGGCACGTCCTTGTGCTGGGGGACTTCAACGCAAAGTCCATTGCGTGGGGTTCCCCCAGGACGGACGCAAGGGGCGAGGCCGTAGAGGAGTGGGCGGCCTCGGTGGGCCTCTGTCTTCTCAACAGAGGCTCCACCAACACGTGCGTGCGACAGCAGGGGGGGTCGATAGTGGACCTTTCGTTCGCTACCCCTGTCCTCGTCGCACGAGTAAGGAACTGGCGTGTCCTGGAAGAGGTTGAGACGCTCTCGGATCATCTCTATATCCGATTTGAGCTCTCCCGGACCCAGGACTCCAGTAGGGGTCACGTGGCGCGGCGTTTATCCCGCTTTCCGCGGTGGGCTGTTGCCAGACTGAACCAGGACCTACTAGAGGAGGCAGCCATAATTCAGTCGTGGCTATCTCCTCAGGCTCCGACCGAGGAGGTCGACGTGTGGGCTGGTCGCTTTCGCGATGCGATTACGCATATCTGCGATGCGGCCATGCCCCGCATTCGAGGTCATCGGCCTCCAAGGAAGGAGGTCTACTGGTGGTCCCAGGAGCTGGCGGACCTCCGTGCGGCCTGTACACGTGCCCGGAGGTCCTACACGCGCAGTCGGCGGCGTCACCGTGGAGACGGTGAGGAGGACCGGCTTCATGAGGAGTACCGACAGGCGCGGAAAACTCTGAAGCTTGCCATTAGCCGCGCCAAAGAAGAAAAGAGAGAGGAGATGCTGGAGGGTCTTAATCGTGACCCCTGGGGTCGCCCTTACCGCGCGGCGTGACAAAAGCTCCGCGCGTCGGGCCCATCCCCCCCTTACGGAGACTCTCCAGCCCAGCTTCCTGCGAGAAGTGGTTGAGGGCCTTTTCCCGCAACGAGCGGAACACACTCCCCCGGCGATGGCCTCCTTGGCCGGAGACGACGGGGAGCACGAGGAGGATGATGTTCCGCCCGTCCGGGATTCGGAGGTAGGGGCGGCTGTTCTACGGATCTGTTCCAAGAACACCGCCCCTGGGCCAGACGGGGTACCGGCCCGAGTGCTGGCCCTTGCCCTCAACCACATGGCAGACCGCCTCGGGGAGGTGTTCGACGCTAGCTTGGCGTCGGGACGTTTCCCTGAGTGCTGGAAGAGCGGGAAGCTGGTCCTATTAAGGAAGCCGGGACGGCCTGCCGATTCGGTCGCGGCCTACAGGCCCATCGTGCTGCTGGACGAGGCGGGTAAATTGTTTGAGAGGGTTCTTTCTGCCCGCATCGTCCGGCACCTCTACGAGGTGGGCCCCGATCTGTCGGACGCCCAATTTGGTTTTCGGGCGGGGCGTTCGACAGTCGACGCTGTTTTGCGCCTGAGGGCCGTGACCGAAGAGGCCGTGAGCTGTGGCGGCGTGCTGTTGGCGGTGTCATTAGACATCGCCAACGCATTCAATAGTCTGCCATTCAGCTGCATCAGGGAAGCACTCCACTATCATGGGGTGCCAAAGTACCTGAGGCGGCTAGTGGCAGACTATTTAGAGGAGCGTACCGTCGTGTACGAGGACCGAAATGGTAATTTGAGGTGTCGGCCCATGTCGTGCGGTGTTCCACAGGGGTCTGTTCTTGGACCCCTCTTGTGGAACATAGGGTACGACTAGGCCCTTCGAGCCGATTTCTCCCCCGGGCTGGGTGTAATCTGTTACGCGGACGATACCCTGGTGACAGCCCGGGGGACGAACTTCCAAGAGGCGGCGCTCCTGCCCACAAGGGGAGTCTCCCTGGTGGTCGGGCGCATTGAGGCGCTGGACTTACGGGTGGCCCTAGATAAGACGGAGGCCCTGTTATTTCATGGGCCCCGTCGTGGTCCACCCCCTGGCGCCTCAATCGTGGTCAACTCGGTTCTCGTACCGGTTCGGGCCCAGATGAAATATCTGGGCCTGATCCTCGACGGGAGGTGGCTCTTCGACGAGCACTTCCGACAGCTTGCTCCAAAGCTGGTCGGCGCTGCGTCTGCCCTAGGGCGACTTTTGCCCAATTTGGGTGGACCCAGCGTCGCGACAAGACGGCTGTACACGGGGGTTGTCCGGTCAATGGCACTTTACGGTGCACCGGTGTGGGCGGCGGCTCTGACCGCCCAGAATAGGGCACGCCTCTGGCGCCCTCAGAGGGTAATGGCGGTCAGAGCCATACGCGGTTACCGCACCGTTTCGACGGAGGTGGCATGCGCGTTGGCCGGAACTCCCCCGTGGGATTTGGAGGCGGAAGTGCTCGCCGAAGTTTATCGGCGAGTGGCTGACTCCCGGGCGGAGAGCGGATTTCGCCCTCCGCCCGAGGATGTGCGCGAGTGGCGCGAAGCCGCTCGCCGAGCCACGATGGCTCGTTGGTGGTTCCGGCTGGAGACTCCACGCGCTGGCTTCGCCGCCGTGGAGGCTCTCCAGCCGGTCATCGCCGAGTGGGCAGGGCGGCAGCACGGGACCCTTACCTTCCGGCTGACGCAGGTGCTTTCCGGGCTCGGTTGCTTCGGAAAGTACCTGCACTCGCTAGGAGGGAACTGAGTCCCGCCTGCCACCACTGCGACTGCAGTGAGGACTCGGCCCAGCACACGCTGGCGGTCTGCCCCGCATGGGCGACGCAGCGCCGGGCCCTCACTACAGTCATCGGAGTGGATCTCTCGCTACCGGCCGTAGTACGCTCCATGGCCGGTAGCGACAGTTGTTTTACCGCGGTCGCAACCTTCTGCGAGGAAGGAATCTCGCAGAAGGAGGCGGCGGAGAAGGCCCGGGAGGACGACCTCCACTCGGACCCGATCCGCCGCCGGCGAACCGGGCGGCGGAGGCGCGCCTATCACCGCCTCATGCCGCCCTGAGTGTGGCCGCGGGTGGACGAGGTGGGTTTCCCCTCCACCCGCATTAGTTTGGCCGGCCGCGAGGGGGTGGCGTCCGCGTGTGCCGGACGTCGCCTAAAGAGAGGAGAATTTTGAGACGGAGCCCGCACCAGGAGCGGGCTGGCGCTAGGAGGGGTCCGGATGTCTTAACAACAGCTGTTCCCGGATCCCTCCTGTTACAGGCGCAGAGTGGCAAACCGTGTGGTTTTAGTCGGTCCGAGTCCGACACACCACCCCGCCGCAAACCCCGGTGGGGTGACGGTCCGAGGGGATTTCCACACGTGAAAAAAAAAAAGGCCAGGCACTGCACTCGGTTGGACTTTATATAGGAAATTGCAAGTACTCGACTGGACTCGTTAAGTGTTCTATCGCTCTTCACTCGGTCAGTACACACCTAATTTAATAAGCGTCAGTTATTCAATCGTCAGGCGTCGTTATTCAATCACTTACCATACTATGGTTACCTAACAAAAACGAGAGCAAAGGCATATTGCATCAGACCGGCGCTTTAATCGGGGAGGGGCTCCCTAATTCTGAGGGGAGATATTCAAAGTTCAACACTTGTGATTCTTGAGTGGCAGGTGTCCGTAGTCGGCGGTAGTAACTTACCATCAGCTGACCCGTCTGCTCATATACAATACATACTTGCATGTAAGTAACCTGTATTATCATGTTTTAGTACGCCAGGAAGAAATAAATTAATGAAAATAGCCAACTTACCACAGCTACCCGATGATTTTGGAGTGATGGACTACGTATCGACTCAACAAGATGATTATAGAAACCCTTACCCGGGAGTAACCAAACCGGTGTGTAAATGTATACTAATTGCTTATTTCTAATTTTAGTTCAACTTAGTTCGGTTAGTACCTTTAATTGAGAAGTTTTTAGTTTAGTAGATTATTGCTGAGGGATTGATTTCATTCGCATAAATTTGTTTTTTCACTAGAAATTTCGTTAATTTACATACACTATGCTACTACGCATGTTATAGGAATATTACAATGAATATAATAAAAGCTATGGAAGATCGATTTTGCTTTAGCACAGAAGACTGCTAGCACAGAACACGATTTTGATAAATGTAATAGGGGTATTAGAATGTTAACTTAGTCCAGGGGCTTGAGTATATCATGACGCGTTACAAGAATTGGTTTGGACATTTTCTCATAAATAAAAATATTATGGGCTCTGTTCATTCCAAATAGCAGTAACATTTAAAAACGTTTTTGCCCATGAATTTAAAGTACAGAATATATCTACACAAGCAAAGCCGAACACGTCTTCTTTTAACTATATAACATGTTTTTATTACAGTTAACTATGTCAACTCCTCCATGGCTTCTCAATCGCATCATCCGCTCAGACCTCACTCAAAACTACAGCGCCGCACCACCACGTGGAGACTATCAGTGCTTAGACACCCATACTCCAATCGGTCATATCAGACAATTGAAATTGTTCCGATATCAATCTTTTGATCCAGCAACTTGTCTACAAGATTTTCCTAGATTAACCAAGTCATTGGATACTAATGAAAAGAAATAAATTGTTACATTTCAATCTTTTATTATAATTAATTAATTAATACAAATTATTGATCATACAAAATTAAGTTAAACACAACAAAACTTGTAACTAAAATCTATTAACAAAATTATAAAAGTAAATACGATCGGCGAAAGTGTAAGTAATTACTTTTAATTTTCTAAATTCCCTTTTTTTTTTTACACAAAATTATATCAACCATCAAGTTGTATTATTTTTTGATTATATTAAATGTGTCTTTGAAGCCAGTATTGTATTTTTAATCATTTAATAGTTTAATAATTATTTCTCGAAATACGTCGATCAGACCCAATTTTTATAATGATTGGATTGAGGGCATACAGTCTAATCGATTTTCGGATCGGCTCTAAATCCATCTATATTCGATATGATTTGCATACAATGTATTTAATGTAAGATTATACGATATTTTGGGTGGTCAAAGTGAGAGTGTATAGCTCAAAAGAACTGAGCCACTAGAAGATATAGACTATTGTAATGACATTTGGACAGTTTTATAGCTGATTGGTGTTAACATTTTCAACTGTTCTGCAAGAAAATAATTAAATGAATTTTCTGTTGACAAAACTTGGGTTATATCACTCACCTAAGTTTTGTCAACAGTATATTATGTCTTTTAAATCCTTAAATACATTAAGTTGCATTGTTCTTCTCGAGACACATTAATTCTATGTTTAGTAAATGTCCTGAAATACTATAATATTATATAGTCAAGCTTGCAATTTAATAACAAGGATTTAAAAAGAAAAAATAATTAACAATTAAACAATTATTCTGTCATGCTAATAAATAAATGGAAAGATATAAGTTTAAACTGAAAGAATATTCATTTCAATTTAACCATAAATATAGTCAAAGCAATGTTTTGTCATAAGCTCTTTTAAACTGCAGGATAGCTAATCATAGCACCTCATTGGACGTAATTATCTTATGCTGCAATAATGAAAGGAATCTACTTATATGTTTTAATTTAAATTACTATCTGAAACAATATTTGCAGCACTGATTTGTTTAGAAATCATTTATGTCAATGTCATATTAAAATTAATACTAATTTTTTGTTTTAATAATGTGTCCACCAACCTATTTATTAATTCAGAAATATCATGAATGATGAATTGATGATGAATTTTTAAACTATGAAAATATTAGGAGCTGAAATGCATTGAATTTGAAAACAATCTTGGTAGATGCCAACCAATATTATAATAACTATTATTATTATAGTAAGTAATATAATTAAGTAAGAAATATAATTATTGTAGCAGTCAATAACACTTGAAGAATGTTTAAATTACTGAATTACCTCAATGGAATTCCTAAAATACTGTTTTAGTAGTTATATTTTTTTAATAGAGGGAAGATTATAGAAGTTAAATGGTTATTTACCCTGTGACATTCCTTTCATACATGGGAAGTTTATTTCTTGAGTATTTACAAATTACAATTATTGAACTTTGTAATAATTTATTAATCTAACTGATAATAAACGAATTTTCTGAAATATTATTTAAACCATTGTTTAACAAATCCTAATCATTATAAATAAAAAAAGCTAATGAGCAGAGATAAATAACAAACAAAAATAAAAATGGAACACATAGTTGCCATATTCCTACTAAATACATACATGTTTTCATTTCATGTTTTGTCTAACTTTGAGGATAACATATGAGTTTCAACATCACGCCAATCACAACAGAACATATATTAGCTTCAATGAGTGCGCTTTCTTTTAAAACTTTTACCCTTCTTAGACTTCAACTTGTGTTTTCGTGAATTTCTATTACTACTAGCTCCTGTTATTTCATCTGCAATCATACCTACTGTTGACAACTTTTTCCGTCGATTCTTTTCAGCCTTTGTGACAGGTAATCGAGTTAAGTAATTTTCTTCATATTCAGTCTTTTCTTGTTCAAATTTAGATATAGACTGTTTCACATGGTTACCAGTGCTAACTTCTAATGGTGCTTCAGAGTATTCTTCACGGAGTTCTCTCATTATGCTAGCATTAAGATTTTCATTTCTCGATTTCTCTTTACTCTTCTTTTCACTGTCAACTCTTGAAGTATGTGCATCAAAGTGCACTGCCGCTAGTTTAGGGGGCACATAGATGTTTGATTTGGTACTTTTGTCTTTCTTATCCTCCCCATTATCTGAGAGTCCACTCGACTCATCTTCAGAATTGTCTATCTTACTCACTAAGTTAGCAGGATTAGCATGAAATGATTGAGGGTCATCCTCAGTTGCACCACCAACTACAACAGTTTTAACTAATTTATCAATTTGATATTTCAGTTTGGAATCTATGGGTCGAATCTTTTCTAGAACTGTTCTTATCTCTATAAGTCTATCAATTGCTGGATCTGAATCAATTTTCTCCCCAGAACTCTTTCTCAACACAATATATGTTAAATTTATAAGATAACTAAGAAGCATTTGATATTTCATTTCCAGGAAGCTAAGTCCTTTATCTGTTGAAAGTTCTCCACTTTTAACTCTGACCAACATATTATCTACAAGTTGTGATACTTGTTGAACATTTGTATTCATTTCTTTAAGCAATTTAACAGCTTGGGGTAGGTCAGGTTGCTCCATTTCGTCTGAAGCCTGGAAACCAAAAATACACATGAATTAATTAAAGTCATTCTTATAACTTTCGTGACCCACTGTAATACAATTTTATACTTTTATGGGAACACAAAATGATTGGAATTCATAAATCAAATAGTCAGAATGTGTGATCGATGATATAACGAATACTTTTTAAATAGCAATTCCAGTTCAGTTTCAACTTTTATTATTTAATTCTATTATTTAACCACTAACACATATTTAGCCAGATCATGGATTACAACACATCTCGGAAATATAATTACAAGTAACCGATGGAAATAAAATTACCACATGGTTAAATAAAATAAACTTCAAAACAATCACCTGGACCATGATGCTGATTTAATTATAACCTCTCTTGATAGAAAATAAATAATGAGGGCATGGAGTTACAATTATAATGGTTTCTTTGTAAATTTTACAGCATTGATTCACAACGCTAAAGCCCAAAAACCTAGCAATAAATAAACAAAAAAACCTTCGTTCAAACACTGAAAGTACGAACGACGCGCAGCGCAGTTTAGTTTCAGTTTTTCTTTTAGCAGTTAAGCAAGAACTGGCGCGTCTGATAAGTGTTGCTATTTTATAAATAGGTAATCTTTATGTAACTAACCTGGGCCTTTTAGTATAAAACCACATTTATATATCATCATACTATAATTGTGCCCTTTGAAGTTAGAGGTTTGTATGAAAATTTTAAAAATATATTTTTTTTGGGTTATTTTTTATTTCAGGCAATCAAAGTACTGGTCCAATGATGGCAGTTTGCTTATCCCTTTACTGTAGAAATCCGCGAAGTCAGCAAAAGCCTTTTGTACTGCCTCTCGGGTGTTTATTTAGACAATTGTTTAAGTGTTAAAAAACTCAACAGAGTTTTTTACCACTTAAACAATTGTCTAAATTTTGAAAAAAGTAGAAATCTATTGGGGCAAGGTCCGATGAGCACGGTGGGTGACGACTGTGCCCTTCGAGCTGTTTTCCCCCCAAGCTGGGTACATTTTGTTACGCCGATGACACTTTGGTCACAGCCAGGGGGGCGAACTTTCAAGAGACAACCAGGGGAGTCTTTCTAGTGGTCGGGCGCATTGAGACGCTGGGTTTATGGGTGGTCCTGGATAAGACAGAGGCCCTCTTATTTCATGATCCCCGTAGTAGTCCTCTCCCAGGCGCCTCTATCGTTGTCAACTCAGTTCTCGTACCTCGACGGAAGGTGGCTCTTCGACCAGCACTTCCAACAGCTTGCTCCAAAACTAGTCGTCGTTGCTTCTGCCCTAGGGCGACTTTTGCCCAATTTGGGTAGAGCCAGCGTCGTGACAAGACGGCTGTGCACGGGGGTTGTCCGTTCAATGGCACTGTACGTTGCACCGGTGTGGGCGGCATCTCTGATCTCCTAGAATAGGGCATGCCTCTGGCGCCCCCAGAGGATATTGGCGGTTAGAGCCATACGCGGTTACCGCACCGTATCGACGGAGGCGGCGTGCGCGTTGGCCAGAACTCCTCCGTGGGATTTGGAGGCGGAAGTGCTCGCCGAAGTATATCGGTAGATGGCTGAGTTCCCGGCGGATAGCGGCAATCGGCCCACGCCTGAAGAGGTACGCGAGTGGCGTGAGATCGCTCGGCGTGCCACGATGGTTCGTTAGTCGGCCCGGTTGGGGGCTCCACGTGCTGGCTTTGCCGCAGTGGAAGTGCTCCATCTGGTCATCGCTCCTTCCAGCTGACTCAGGTTCTTTCCTGGCATGGCTGCTTCGGGAAGTACCTGCTCTCAGTCGCTATGAGGGAATTGAGACCCGCCTGTCACCACTGCGATTGCCGTGAGGACTCGGCTTATCACACGTTGGTGATTTGCCCGGCCTGGGCGTCGCAGCTTCTCGTCCTCATTGTAGTCTGATGAAATCGAGTGAATCAAGCTTTTATAGAACTCTCTGTCATCTTTGGTTAGAACTCACGATAAATTCCATTTTCATTGTCTACGTGAAACCGTAAGAACTAAACCTAGTCTAAGTTTCACATTATAATGAAAAATATGGTAGAGTATGAAAATTTCAATTTGTTTGATCATGTACCTACGATAATATTTTGGAGATTCGTAAATTAAGATTAAAGGTCAATTGATAATTTCTTAAATGAAATGAAATTTTGATAATTCTATCGAAAAACTGTTCGATAGCCTTTAGAGATTTCTATTTTATCTTTTTCATTGTATTTCTTAAATATGTACTTAATAGTATTAGTACTAACACTAACCTAATTGAACAAATAGATTTTTCCTTGTTATTAATTGACTATGAAAGAAGTTTTCTTCTTTATACCTTTAGTATTTTTTTATTTATTAAAGACTATAAAAATATCCTTATTCCTTATAAATACGTTCACTATTGGTATAGTGGTTCTTTGTGGTATAGTTAATACTAGCGCGAAACACAATTAAGAAAGTCAAAAGGTCTATCTTATTTACTTAAATTTGAACGAATCCATTTTATTATTTGTATGATTGCACGTCAAATTATTTGACAGATGGAAGACGAGTAGAGGCGAAGCAGGCAATTTGTTGTAGAATGATTGTATTTTCGTTTACTTTAGTCTGATTAAAAGTATTACAATATGTTAACGGTGCGTTTTGATTGAATACAAATATTAGTAATTGAAAATTCTGAATATAAAAACAATTTTGTTTGATTTTCAGGCTCTTTTTCAGTGCGTTTTATTTAGTAGCTTCGTTCTTTTTAGTAATGGATTCTATGTACCCGGAGTTGCTCCGGTGGAGTTTAAAAAGGGCCAAAGAATCGAAGTTAAAGCTGTTAAGATGACCAGTATACATACACAACTGCCTTACGAATATTATTCTCTGCCTTTTTGTTTACCGAAGAATGGTACATTTGTATATAAATCAGAAAACTTAGGTGAAGTATTACGTGGTGATCGTATAGTAAACACACCCTATGAAGTCCATATGGCGGAAAACATTAAGTGCAGATTATTGTGCCATCATAAAAATAATCCTATAAATTGGAGTGTTGAGGAATCTGATAAAGTTGCAAGCCGTATTGAACATGAGTATTTTGTACATTTGTAGGTATTTCCTTTATATGTTATATAGTTTATTTATTTCTACTTGAGAAAGTGAGGTTAATGTATATATTTTTAGGCTTGTGGACAATTTACCAGTGGCTACCAGAATTATAAGTAGTGATACTGCAGAACGAATAATAGAACAAGGTTATCGCCTGGGTTTTATGTCTAAAGGCAAAGCATACATAAATAATCATTTGAAATTACTTCTTAAGTATCATAAACACAGTCAGTAAGTAGTTAATAAATTGTATTTAATTTTTACTTAATATTGTTTGACCATATTTTATGAATAACTATTGATATGCTAAAGATTTTTTCAATTGATTTCCAATCCTTAAAAATCTAACATAATAAATGGTGTAATGTTCATAATATCTCCTTCTACATTTTTCTTTACAAATTTGTTCATTGTATTTGATATGGTTAAGTATTAAATTGCAAAATATAAACTTAATTTCAGGGATTCCTACAGAGTTGTTGGTTTTGAAGTGGAAACTTATTCTATTGACAAGGATGATTTAAACTTTGTTGATGACTCATGCACATTCCCATCAGATCCAAATCCCCAGCTGGTAAATGAAGACACAGGCACAAAATTGTACTTCACATATTCTGTTGAGTGGGGAGAGTCTGACATTAGCTGGGCTTCTAGATGGGACATATATTTAGGAATGAAAGATGTACAAATTCACTGGTTCTCTATCGTTAACTCCATAGTAGTCTTGTTTTTCTTATCAGGTATGTTCAGCTTTGAATAATTTTAGGAGTTAAAATTTTACAGAATTGTGTAACTCATTCATTTTGTGTAATACGCAGTACACTAAGCAAGCTTTTACTATGAGTTTTAGAATATAAATAAGCATACTTAGATATAATACACTTACCAATACAATTACAGATTATCATGTCCATGCATTATTATGTTCATGTGATTATGTATTTCTACTGAACAGGAATACAACCTGTAATCTCTAGTATGCTGTGTGCTGTTGCACCGCAGGTTATTTGATTAACTTACAAAATGACTTTATCATGTACAACATTACAAATATTATAATGTTAAACATTTAAATGCTTAACTGTTAATTTTTCTAATTTATATTTTAAACATTTTAGGTATTTTGACAATGATCATGGTACGCACATTGAGAAGGGACATAGCCCGTTATAATTCAGATGAGAGCATTGATGACATGATGGAAGAAACTGGTTGGAAGTTAGTACATGGTGATGTCTTTCGACCCCCACCAAAGAGAATGTTGTTTGCAGCTGTTATTGGAAGTGGCATACAAGTATTCCTAATGGCTCTCATTACTATATGTAAGTTGTCACTTTATTATTGTAAAACAATAATTGTCACAGGGTAAAGTGTACATAAATATCACTATATCTGTTTGTTGAAATTATGTTCAGGATCTCTTCCTACCCCTGCCCTTACCGCACGGGTAAGGAACTGGCGCGTCCTGAAAGAGGTTTGGATCAGTTATATATACGATTTAAGCTCTCTCGGACCCAGGACCCCATTAGGGGTCACGTGACACGGCGTTCCTCCCGCTTTCCGCGGTGGGCTGGTGCTAAACTGAACAAGGACCTACTAGAGGAGGTAGCCGTAATTCACACCTGGCTGTCTCCTCAGGCTCGACCCATGAGGTCGACATAGGGGCTGGTTGCTTTCGCGATGCGATTACGTAAATCTGCGATGCGGCCATGCCCCCGCATCCGAGGTCGTCGGCCTCCAAGGAAGGAGGTCTACTGGTGGTCCCAGGGGTAACGGACCTCCGTGCGTCCTGTACACGTGCCCGGAGGTCTTATACCCGCAGTCGGCGGCATCACCGCAGAGACATCCCGATCGCGCGGCTCACAAAAAGCTCCGCGCGTCAGGTCCCCCCCTCCCCTTACCGACTCTCCACCCCAGCTCCCTGCAGACAGTGGTTGAAGGCCTTTCCCGCAACGGGCGGACAACACACCCGTCGATGGCCTCCTTGGTCGGAGACGACGGAGAGAACGATGAATATGTTCCGCCCGTCACGAATTCGGAGGTAAGGGCGGCTGTTCTACGGATCCGCTCCAAGATCACCGCCCCCGGGCCACACGATGAAGAGCGGGGTGCTGGTCCTGTTAAGGAAGCCGGGACGGCCTGCCGATTTGGTCGCGGCCTAAAGGCCCATTGTGTTGATGGACGAGGCGGGTAAATTGTTTGAGAGGGTACTCTCTGCCCGCATCGTCTGCCACCTCTACGAGGTGGGCCCCGATCTGTCGGACGCCCAATTCGGGGCGTTTGACGGTCGGCGCTGTGCTGCGCCTGAGGGCCGTAACAGAATAGGCGGCGTGCTGTTGGCGTTATCATTGAACATCGCCAACGCATTCAATAGTCTGCCATTCAGGTGCATCAGGGAAGCACTCCACTATTACGGGGTTTCAGAATACCTGAAGCGGCTAGTGGCAGATTATTTAGAGGACGGTCGTGTACGAGGACTGAGGTAGTCTGAGATGTCGGCCCATGTCGTGTGGTATTCCACAGGAGTCAGTTCTTGGACCCCTCTTATGGAACATAGGTTAGTCGGTCCGACTCGGACACACCACCCCGCCGCAAACTCCGGTGGTCTGATGACCCGAGAGGGTTTCGACATAAAAAAAAGGGTTTGTGACAAGTTTTCTTTGTCTTTGCAGTCCTGCGTAGTTTGCTCCCTTAGTCGGCTCTTACTACACCCATTTCACTTTTAATTTCATAACACTTTCAATTTTCGCATCTTATTCCTAAAATGATGGGTTGAAACCCTTCGGGAATAAAGATGTGACTAAATAGATAAAATAAATGTCTTTATTATTATTAAAGTCTCAGGACTGCTAGTAGTAGTTATAGGTATTATCTGGTCATAGTTCAGACCGATAGTCAAAAAAAAAAGTTCAGAAGACGGTATAGGTAGGCCCCCCACAAGGTGACCACGACCTGGTGAAGATCGCGGGAGGCCGTTGTATGCTGTTGTTGATATGATTTGATTTGATTTGTGGCGAACCTTAGTGGAGGCCCATGTCCAGCAGTAGACGTCTTTCGACTGAGATGATGTTAAGTGTTAAGTGTCAAGACCGTAATTTATGTTTGACGTCGAATTTTAGTAAATAAAGTATATAATGAATATGTTATGTATAATTTTACAACATGAGGCGACGCCTATAACTGTTATTAGTATAGTATAATTAAGTATAATCTTTTTAGTAAATAGTCATTTTTTTTATTTATTAAGAATAAACTTTTTCTCAATGTTGGTTATTGATGACAATGTACTTAGAAATACGTACTTATAAAATAAAAATTATCTTTGATATTTTTCAGTTATCGCTATGCTGGGTATGCTATCTCCAGCGAGCCGCGGTGCCTTAATGACAGCAGCTATATTTCTCTATGTATTTATGGGTCTCATCGCGGGCTATTATTCAGCGAGACTGTATAATACTATGAAGGGAAAACAATGGAAGCAAGCAGCATTCTTGACGGCCACATTATACCCAGCTATTGTCTTTGGCACCTGTTTCTTTTTAAACTTTTTCATTATGGGTAAACATTCTAGTGGTGCTGTGCCATTTTCGACCATGATGGCTTTGTTGTGTCTATGGTTTTGCATATCATTGCCTTTAGTATATTTGGGATATTATTTTGGATGTCGAAAACAGCCTTTCCAACATCCAGTAAGGACTAACTTCATTCCAAGAAAAGTACCTGAGCAAGTATGGTATATGAACATATTTATATGGTAAGTTTTTTATTCTGTATGTTATTTTCTATATCTAATCGATAGTAATCATCGTAAATTTTATATTGACTATAATCGGTCTGAATTAATTTTAAAATGGTAGTAGTTACTTCGTTCCTCTTTTTTTCTTCCTATCTGTTTGTAGCAAGGGTCAAGTCCCCTGTATGTACTGTTGATAATTTTATAATTCTTACTATAGAGCTCGTTTTTCCATGTTTTTGTGGTTATCGCAGATCAATGCATGAGTGCTAGTGCCTTGTTTATTAATAAAAAAACTTCGATCCTAAACTTATAATAGACAATAAAGTTTCTCAATTTTCAGTGTTCTCATGGCGGGCATCCTTCCATTTGGAGCTGTATGCATTGAATTGTTTTTCATATTCAACGCATTGTGGGAAAATCAATTTTATTACTTGTTTGGTTTCTTATTCCTGGTATTCTGTATACTAGTGGTGTCCGTATCACAAATATCGATTGTTATGGTGTACTTCCAACTCTGTGGAGAGGTAAGTCGCTTTATACAAATTTACTTTTATCTTAGAATCAGTTACAAGCTATATAACGGGTGTGATGATACATATCACAAAAAATGAAATAACTGATAACACGGTTCAATACGTCGGTTAAAATGAAAAAAATTAAGAAATGCAAATTTAGAAAAAAAATACAATAAAATAATTGCCGAGTTAGAACACCATCGATAACATGAGTCGGTGAACTGTACATGGCGCATCGCAATGTCGGCGACATCAAAGCAACGCAGCCACCGCGACGAGCCGGCGAACTTTACATTCTTATTACCTACCTACTAATCACTTCACTTGCTTTTTTAAATCTATTTATTAAGAATACGATTTTATTCATTTTATTTTGGGAATGCTCGACTAGCTTCGGACCGGGCAGTATGTGTCTTACGTGTACGTTACTTGAGAAAGTAGGTACTTTGGTTGTCTCGTAATGTTTGTACCGCCCTTACAAAAATTCGGCAGTCTGTAGGACATACACGATTGACTCCAAGAAAATTAAAAGACTGATAATTCACTTAGTTTCACACTACACTACACACAGAACCTAATATTGTCACTTTTCAAAATAAAATTAACAGGACTCGTTACATTACGAAGTCTTGCGCACACGATAACATTAATTGTTCACACCATTGCCGTGTATTATGACGAAAGCAATAAGACTAAACAATTATTAACACAAAAAACTTTTCTAAACAAATACGTATGTCATGAACAACAACAATATTATTATTACGGTTGTTTGTCGTGAGCGCATCTACAAGGATACAGAATAGCATAACTCTCGCCGGTGGCCAAGGGCCGACTGATTGTCCCTACTGGATGAACTAATTAAAAACCCGTGTCATTCATCGTGATGACGCAATAATCAACATATTTCGTTCGATTCGAGTGTAGTAAAAGCGGCAACGTGTGATTACCGCGCCGCGTATAGAGCTGATCGCCGCCTGAGGTCAATGTATTATGACTGTATTTACACACGATGTTGCAAATTACGAAAACAAAAAAATGTCCTGTTTCTAAACCACTGAATATTTTTTGTTCATATTTTGCAAATCGTCTAGAAATAAAGTGCAGAATATGTTGTTTACAGATTCGTTAAACCATAGGTGACACGCTGAACACTATAGTGATCTTACTTATAAGTAAGATCACTTATAGTGTGCCGCAAAAGAAAGAAAATAACAAAAACCAACGTTTTCACTGGTTTTAAAGGTTAACTGGTAAAAAGCGTTTTACGTATTAATTGTCTCAACTGCTGTGCACATTGATTATTACGAATAGTAATATAATATGGTTAGGTATTTGCAGTATGGACTGGTCCAGTTGACTCTATAAAAGTTTAGGTTTACACAAACTATAATTTTAAGAAAAGCCAAGTGTTCCTAAATAATATGCAAAAATAAACATCATATTTCTCTTATTCAAATAATAACCTAATCAATATTCTCAAAGAAACAGAATTAATAACCCACTTTAATTTAAGCAGTGCCTTTGCTGTGGAAGACGCGCGCGGCAAGCGCAATCCATTTGCCGCGTGTGCGTCTTCTGCATAGTCTTCCTGAAGAGACGACATTCATTTAAGCATTCGTTACACTGCGTAAACCCCATTGTATTGTTTTTATCATTAAAACTATATGTAGTAACCACGCGGACAACACTGCACTATGCGTGTGCGTTTAAAAAAGAGCCGCGTTGCATATTGCTGAATGTAAAATATCTTTCATGCAAATCGATGTGTTAATGCATTACAAGAAAAGAAAACTATCAGTACTCTCGTTATTAGAGCAAGAAGAAGTGTTATTTGTTGGCAAAAATTGCAAGAGGTCATAAATAACTGGTCGATCTCTAATTAAATGTATTAACAATTCTTATTCTTCTTTTGTAAAATCTATCAGTCTTCGTTTTAATGGCATTGCGATATTTAAGTATGTCCTACTTTAAATATGCAACTAACAAATAAAATGGACAGGGCAATTATTGCACATTTTAAAAATCGTGTAGAATGTGAATAAAACAAAACGTATTTAAATGTGCGCAATCGTCTACTGTCGGCAACGGTTCCGCAATAAAAACAAGGATACTTCATACGAATACGTTAAGGTACATAGTTTTTAATTGTGCGGTAAATTGATTCCGTCTCACGCAACAATTGCCGCTGCGTCAAACGTAAAAATCAATCCAGGGCAATTTCTTTGTCTGTGTAAAATAGTGAGTTTTACAATTTACCGTTAGTATTTTCGAAAAGAAAATAAAATAAATAAGTTTTTTTCATAAAAGTATCCAGCTGCACAGCCTGGCACAATGTCGTGGCTCGTGACTCGGACCGAGTCGTCATTGTGCGTAAAATCTAATTTAGTAAAATGCAATAATGTGATAAATATAACGAGTGTGCTAAAAGTAATCACAAAAAATGAAATAACACGGTTCAATATACGTCGGTTAAAATAAAATAAAAAATAGTACGAAAATACAGAAATGCAAATTTAGAAAAAAAAAGACAATAAAATAATTGCCGAATTAGAAAACCATTGTTAACATGAGTCGGTGAACTGTACACGGCAGCGTCGCAATGTCGGCGACATCAAAGCGACGCCGCCGCCGCGACGAGACGGTAAACTTTACATTCTTATTACCTACTACTTAATCACTTACTTCACTTGCTTTTGAAAATAAATTTATTAAAAATACGATTTTATTCACGTGTTTATTTCGGGAATGCTCGACCAGCTTCGGACCCGACAGTACCAACATGTCACTCCTTGAAAAAGTTGATACTTTAGTTGTCTCGTAATCTTTCTACCGCCCTTACAAAAATTCGGCAGTCTGTAGGACTCGGTTTGTCCGAAAAACTAAAGTAACATCATGTCAGGATATTCCGCGACTGTGAAGGTCACTCGCGACATTATGGATGATCGCTACCGATAGCCTAATAAAATTAAAAGACTGATAATGTACTCAGTTTCACACACGCTACACTACACACACAAACTAATATTGAGAATATTTTCGTTTCAAAATTAAATTAGCGGGACTCGTTACATCACGAAGTCTTGCGCGCGCACGATAACATTAATTGTTCACACCATGGCCGTGTATTATGTTTATGACGAACGCAATAAGACTAAACAATTATTAACACAACAAAACTTTTCTAAAGAAATAGCTCACGAACAACAACAATATTATTATTACGATAATTTGTCGTGATAATAATATTACGTTCGATCCGAGTGTAGTAAAAGCGGCAACGTGTGATTACCGGCGCCGCGTACGCAGCTGATCGCCGCCTAAAGTCAATATATTATGACTGCATTTACACATTATGTTTCAAATTGTTGAACATTTTTTTGTTCATATTTTGCAAATCGTCTAGAAATAAAGTGCAGAATAGGTGGTTTAAAGATTCGTAAAAAAACACACTGTATAGTCTTAGTGTCATATTACATAAACTTTGATTCCTTTTTCATTGATTATGCTATGTTTTTTTCCAGGATTATCACTGGTGGTGGAAGAGCTTTGTTGTATCTGGAGGCTCTGCTGTTTATATTTTGATATACTCTATATTTTATTTTTTTACGAAGCTGGAAATAACTGAGTTCATACCAATATTACTTTATATTGGTTACACAGGTAAGACACTCATACCATGTTAACGTATCTACATAAATTATTGCTAGTATTATTATTATTAAATATACTAGCGATCCGACCCCGCTTCGCACGGGTGCCGTGTAGATACTACTAAGGTGGTGTCAGTGTGGAGTAATTACTACTAATAATAATACTAATACTATTGTTATGATAGGACTACACTACATGACTATACTATATGCAATATTTATGGGCCCGCTCCGATCCTGGCGGCCGCTGCCACCCGGGACTGATGTACGGCCCGACGCGGCGACGGCCGTGTTTTAAACCTCTAATATCTTTTAAAATATCCATTTAAATGATATGCTGTTAAGGGCAATTTTAATCTACATTAAATGCACAACGTATCTAACGTATTTTATTGGATAAGGAATAATAATGTGTTGTTTAAAAAAGCCCATTCTTTTTTTGTAATAATTAAAAGATACAACTGGTTACTGCGGGTTATCCTTAGGAGATTGACATATACCATCATAGACTTTTTTGTAGATCTTTTTAAGATATACAATTCCGTTGTACATTATTTTGGTCTATCTCCTAAGGTTTAGCCAGCGTTTGCAATGTAAGCACACAAAAACATGTTTTTTACGACAAATTTTTGAAATTCTCAGATTTTCTCAACTGTAATACGCATGTATTACACATATAAACCTTAATCTTGAAACACTATTCTAAGATCAAAGAGTACAAATAAAAAAAGAGACTGTTTTTCATACAATGTAAAGATAATGACATATTATGTCTTCTGCTCTGTCAATTAGTTGGTAATAACCACAGAAATCGTAATAATAAGACACTAGAAATGAATTAGCGCTCGATTACGGCCAAAACCGATGTCGAGACATCTTAACACATACAAAAAATACAAACAAATAGGTATAAGACTCGCACGCATTTGCAAAACAACGGTGAAATGTATAGGGCACGAACTATTATGAACCTTAATCTCCAGGAATTACATTACATTTTACTGCAATGTAATATGTGGCACCACTTCAATTTCCTTCGATGTATGAGAATCCCTGTCAGCAATGGATAAAATGGATAAAATGGCAATCATAGATATATACTTTTTTTTAATATTTTAACAATAATTAATGATACTTATAAATGAATAGTACCTATAATGATAATAATATTTGCTTCGGAGTTTGGGTGATAATATGTATGTATTTACAAAAAAGTATATTAGTAATCTATCAGTCAATCTAGTTTTCATAGTGCAAGCCCTGCTGGGTTTGAAACTAGATGGCGTTGTGACAGATGTCCCAAATATTTTTATTATTATTATTTAAAATCAACAGTTAGAATACTTTATTAATCCAGGCTACAGCGTACACTTATAAAACAATTACAAGAACAAGACTACCTTGGTGGCGCAGTGGTAGTTAATGCGACTGCTGTGGTAAGGTCTCGGGTTCGATGGTCGGACCAAATGTTTGTATGATCTACAAGTATTTGTTTCGGAGTTTGGGTGTTCTATATATATAATATGTATGTATTTACAAAAAAAGTATACAAGTATTCTATCAGTCAATCTAGCTCTCATAGTACAAGCTCTGTATAGTTTGAAACTAGATGGCGTAATTATTATTATAATTAAATAAAAAAAAACTAAAGCTGGCAGATTGAAATAATAAGCAATTACTGAAGAAATAGTACCTTCACGTAACAATAACTTTTATATTAATGTAGAAATAAGTTATTAAGCAGTAAGTAATAAACAGAGCAATTTCCTTTTTTATATTTACATAGTCATCAACTACATGACACTATGTTTGAAAATATAGTTAATTACATAAGTAAGTATCTCTAGTTGATGTTATCAGCAACTCTACAAAATGAGTTTACTGCCCCGTAAAATGAAGAAAATTATTTAAAATGTTTTCTTGAACATCAGGATTTTCGGGAATCTAGAAATTAATTATAATTAAGTATTAAATAGTAATATAATTATTTATGCTTCTTAAAAAGATAAAATTTTATTTACATTTATCAGCATGCTAAACATTTATAAGAAACTAGCTGACCCACGCAACTTCGTCTGCGTCTCTCAATAGTAATAAATTTTCTCCGTTTTTGAAACATTCTTCATTGGTTCTCCGCTCCTATTGGTCTTAGCGTGATGATATATAGCCTATAGCCTTCCTCGATAAATGGGCTATCTAACACTGAAAGAATTTTTCAAATCGGACCAGTTGTTCCTGAGATTAGCGCGTTCAAACAAACAAACAAACAAACTCTTCAGCTTTATAATATTAGTATAGATTATTTTATAAATTGTATTAAGAATATTTTACCTGCATATTTCGTTTAATTTTTTTACGTTTGAAAATCTGAAAATATGCTTTTATACTAACATCGATATAAACTGTACTTTCATTCAAATGAATGAAACGGTTACATCACTAATTGGTGACCGATGCCTGCACCCGTATGATAAACATACGCAAAGAAACAACGATATCTAATGCTTCACATTACATTACTTGGCTAGGTTGTCAACATCGCGTGCAATAAGAACCATACAAAGGCTATTTAAGATATCTTATTAAAGGATTCATTGAGATGTAAATTAGTAAAAAATAAACTTACCGATGAAATGTTATGCTTTTATTAGTTGAATTATACGTCCTAATGCGTTTTTACCATCCCTTATGCTGCAGTTCATCATTTTAACATTATAAATTCACATACGACGCTTCGCGCAACTAAATCACGAATGGTGTGAATTTCTGTAAGTGGTGTTCGTCTACACATCATTGCGGCGACAAGGTTTACGCGACAAGCGTTAATGCGAATTCTAGTGTCTTATTGTTTCTATGGTAATAACAATGCAAATTATTTGAAAGATTAGAAGGTCCAAGTAAGGTTATTTCAGAGGTTAAAAAACAAGTTAATGCACCCTCTAAAAAAATGACGCCATACAACAAAGGAGTGAGTCATGGATTCTAAACTCTTTTTCAAAAACACTTTGTCTCGAAATATATTTTTTAAGTAGAATGATGGTAGAATTTGATACTTATTTTTTTTTATAAAGGTTTATTACTTTAATCAGTTATTATACGATAATTCATATATACCTCAAAACTGCTTTTCTTTTAATTGTTTTGAATGATATGTAACTTAGGTACTAAAATAACTAAAGTAACTAACGATTGTTGCACAGAACTCTACGGCACCTTGATTATACGGTTCCTTAACGCAGATCGATACCAATATCTATTTTTAACATTATAGTAATTGTTTTACTTTCTAACTCAATCTTTCACTTTCAAAACTTTCTTTTACGATAAGTAAGGAAGAAAAAATGGTCTATAAATGTGTCTATAAATGGTCTACTTTAATTAAAAGTACTACGAAACGAGAACTTGTTACTTTAAAGTCTGTCACTTCCTAGAAGTCGAATTTCTCAGAGAAAAGATTTACTTTTTACGCATTCTTAATGCGTGGTCTCCATGCGTATTTGCTAAGACTGTACAATACTTATTTAACTTGTAAAAAAAATATTTTCAATTTATCGGCGGTTTAGATGTGACAACTCATAACTACAATCTTTTGGTAAAATTAGATTTTGGTTTATAAATTAAAAATGTATTTTAGTTCTTGTAAAATAATTTTATGACTTCTGAAAAGTTTATCAGTTTGTATCATAGTATTACTACTTAAAAAAATAATGTCTAATTTTGCATTGTTACAGGCCTCATGGTGTTAACATTTTGGCTCTTGACTGGGACTATTGGATTTTTCGCAGCATACACATTTATTAGAAAAATTTATGCGGCTGTAAAAATTGACTAATTTCTTTTAAGTATTGTATTTAACTTTGAGTGAGTGATGAACGAGTTTTGCTGATGATTTATATTGTGCATATTATTGTTGTTGCTGTAAATAGATATTTAGGTAAACATTGCATTTTAAAAGGATTTTTGTATAATTTCAATATTTTAAGTTAGATGTAGTAGCATGTTACACTCACCCGCCTACTTTCGTCTCACACAAATCGTTTATTCTATTTACACAACTTTAGCAGATCATGTACATTGTTTCCGCAACAGATATTTCAGGAATATAATAAAATACATATTTATCTTGTAAGAAAATAAGTATATCATTTGAGACAATAGAAACCAGCCCTATCTATTATGAAGTTCTTTCTTGTGATCATCCAAAATGCAGCATTCCGGATAACAGTTAAACATCATAACAAACGAAACGTTTCAAATACATATTTTTTTCTGTTTTTAGTTTTAGATAGATAGATAGGTACTCTTTATTGCACACCATAATTAGGTTACATACGATGATACATACAAAAAAAACACAGTGATAACACAATGACTGCGATCTCTTCCAGGTAACCTTTAGATGGACTACTATATAGTAATATGTAGCGTGTGGTGCGCATTTACAATTTCTGTATATTAACTAATATTAACATACATAAACACACATACACATACCCATATAGCACATAGTTATTAAAGAGATAAATAGTGATCCTCGACGAGTTCTTTAAAAGTAAGTATAGTTTTAATATATATGTAAGTATTTAAATACAATTGTAACATTGCTGTTACTCTTGTAACATTGTTAAGATACCGTAGACTAGGGACGAGGGGCAGTTAAAGAAACCCTATAATTTATTTTGTCCGTTGCTTTGTTAAGTTTGCTTAATGAGATCAACATATTTTATCTTACTCATCCACACTTGATTTCAAAGCGCGTTTTCTTGTCTGACAGACAGAAATATCAATTATAACAATTATAAGTATTGCCCAGATTCTGTACATGAAGTTACAGTACGTCTGGGATTTAATCACGTGGTTTCTGTAAATTTTGATAATTCATTAAAGTCCCGTTGTAAACCGAATACGGAAACGATGACTAGAAATTGAAAGCAATACCTTAAACCTTGTCAAAAATCGTTGCGCCTTTCAACATATGATAAGTGTCAAATTGAAACTATAATGCACGAAAAGTGACTTACAGCGAATGACTTATGAATTCGCTGAACAATAAAATCACATAGATGCCTAAGGTGTCATATAGACAAAAATACAATAATTAAGTATGAGATTCTGAATCGGATTGTCATTTGTGATGAAAATTGGATCCTGTATGAAAATCTCTACTTGCATAATATATATGTTGCTGAACTACCTTTAATAAAAACACAATTAATATGAAACTGATTCTCAAAATTATTATTATACTATTGTGTCGCTATTTCCACACAACGACAAAGTAAGCAATGCACACCATAATGATGTTCAACTTCAACAAAAGATAAGATCGATCCTTCCTTTTAACCAGGTCATTTTATTCATACACCTTTTAAAAAGTTAAGTAGATTGAAATGAGGAATGTGTTTAATCCTTATCCTCTGGCAGATTACCTTTAGGCAGCGCAACTAGTGCTCAAAGCAGTAACAGGAGGAAATATTATTGGCAGCAACATATTATTTAATATTTTAAGGTCATTCGTTCAAATAATAAAAATACTCAATCTTCGTTTTGTGATTTTTTATTCCTTTTTAATAGGTGTCGTAGCCGCTAGCCCGGAGGCCAAGCAGCTCGACCAATTTTGTGTGCATCAACACCACCACGGCAACAGCCTTTAATAGTCCACTGCTGGACATAGGCCTTAGAAAGGAGGTTTTGGCCTACTATACCACGCTGGCCAGACGGGTCGGTATAGGGTTTGTGTCAAGTTTTCCTTCGCTCTGCAGTGCTGTTGTCTTGCGTAGTTTGCTCCATAAGTCGCCTCTTACGATACCCACGAGATGAATAGGAGTGGTGACACTGTATTCTTAGTCCGTCAGTTATTTGTCGACATTTTGTTCACAAATTAATATAATTTAAAATATCCAAAGTCGGACTAATTTACGTCCTACAAGTATTGTTAGAAGTATGTGCAAGTAGTCAACTACCTACTCTTAATTTTGTTTTTATCTATCATCACACGCCTGCTTTATAGCAAAGTCTGAACATACATGACATAAAATTAATAATACATATAAATATATATATATATATATATATATAACAAGCCACTGACACGCTACTAGAGATGCCATCGAGTGGCTAAACTTGTTATAGATTCTGTAAAGGTTTACTTTTTGTTAAATTTATTTGCTTACTATTTGACAAAACAGAGATTGTTGCTTGTGTGTGTGTGATCTATGACTTTAGAGACTACATAAAACACGATTTCAAACAATTTCATGAAATAAAGAGAGTTTGAGTTTATCGGTAGTCTACACTAACTCAGTGTCTTTACAGTGGCTCGTTTTTTTTTCACCTCACCTGATAGAAAGTGACCATCGCCGCCCATGAACGTCTGCAAATCAGGAGTCACAAACGCGTTGCCGGCCTTTTAGGAAGGAGTACGCTCTTTTCTTGAAGGTTTGAAGATCGTATCGGTCCGGAAATAACGCAGACGATAACCCGTTTCACAGATTGGTTTTGCGGGGCAAGAAGTGTCTCGAAAAGCGCACAGTAGTGGAGCGCTAACTATCCAGGTGATGAGGATGAAAATTTTGCCGTGTGGAGCGATGGCGAATTTATCATATTTATTGATACAAATGTATAAACTACAACGACATAATACACCTTAATTAATAAAATTATCGTTGGCTGTTTGTAAGTGCTATTGCCAAACGAAAAAAGTGGCTCTGACTTATATGTATATCATTCACGGAACGGACCAGTAAAATTAAAATGTTTTCTAACGAAATAGTAAGTACTTACTTTAGTATTTTTTAGATGTTATCGATTAAATAAAATTTTATTTTCTATTTCTGTAAACAAATTACAGAAGTAATTTAACACAATATTGTATTAAAATTGTGGTTTAATACTACATAGTACATCAGTGTCTTTAGTTTGAATTTTTAGAATTTAACTCCTAAGTTTGTTGCAGAAATGGCAAGTGAGGTACAATTAGGCGCGTTTGATGTTCCTGGTTCAAGGAAAGATTCAGTCTGGCGAAGCGGTTAAGGACGGAGTGCGCAAATAAATGGTATTTCGTTAAGACTGCCAAAGTAGAGAGTATTAATTTACATAACAAATTTGTTCTATTCATCTAGCCACCCCTACACCAATCTCTTTCTTTATGAGAAGGCAATAACGAAATAAGTTAGGGCAAATAGTCCACCACGTTATCAGCAAATTTCAACAGGCAAATTTTACACAACTTGACATGGAGAACTCTCAGTTAAGCAAATTGCCTGCTAATGCTGTTTGCTTTCACTGTTAAGGCAAGCGATAACTAAGTCAAGTAGTAGTAATAGTAGTAGTAGCAGTAGTTGCAGTAGCAGTAGTTGTAGTAGCAGTAGTCTACTAACTACTACTAGTTAGTAGTCATAACCTTCAGAGAAAAGTTTGACCATAACTTTCTTTAATCATTTTACTACTCCGCTGCTTTCTTTATTTTAATAATATCCTATTGTGAGTTAAAATTTATTTTATTCTTTTCAGGTTTATAAAGAATACAAATAAAAAATCAAAGAAGATAGAGAAAATAAGAAACAAAAATCAAAGTGGCAGGTGATGAACTTTACCATTTAAAAGTTTAAATTTATGAATGCAATAAAACAAAAACAGTTTCAAATTATGCCAAATTTATTTTTTTGTTGTGAAGTACAGGACCTACTAATATTCCGGTTAGAAATGGAATATTATTTCATTCATGTCTGCCGCGACTGGCCTCACAGTACCCCATTCGATCGGACCAATTTTCGAGTTTATGAGGTCATATCTCGGCATCACGAATGTTGGCCTTCAAATGCTCACTTGTCTTTAACGGCGCCCCACAGAAAATAGTCCAACGGTGTCAAATCTCAGCTTCTTGGCGGCCAATTGACATCACGATTTCGGCAAATTAAGTCATCAAAAGTTTGACGCAATAAATCGATTGTGGTATGAGATGTGTGGCAAGTCACACCATTCTGTTTAAACCAAACATTGTTCACATCAGTACCATCAAGAGCAGGCACAAAAAAAAACGGTTATCATGGTGCGATAGGTGTTTCCATTGACCGTAATGGTAAAACCAACGATGCTCAAGCGTAAATCGATTCATTTAGTTCAGTGGAGATAATATACTGAATTTTGTGACAATAGAATTTCATAAGTATTGTCAGATTCGAAATAACCGGTTGTTCAAATTTAAACCGATGGATGGCCCACATTAGTCTTGTGCTTAACCGGACATCTGCAGGTTCGCACCGTACTAGTACTATTAGTACAGTTTTAGTAGAAGTAGAAAACTTAAGCGTTTGTATTGATATTACTAACATTAATGAAACGGAATACCAAGTAATTAAAAAAAGTGTTAAAGAATTTTGTCAGACCGGCTTTTTGATTTTATTTTTAAATATAAGATGTCTTTGTTCCAGGTAGTTACTTTTTTTCAGTATAAGAATAATAACACAGTTCTTGATTATTTTTAATGTGTTATCCTTTTCTGAATCCCATAAACCCTAACAGTTTGACTTTTAAATACGAATTTTTAGATTACTTCACATTAAACTTTTAAGCATACTATTAGATTTTCCTTCATACTTTACAACCCAACGTATTGTAGTACATTAATCGCATCGCTGTCCCTTTTACTCTCACACTGTTTACCGATACGGAACAATAAAGCGGATTATTAATAGTACGTCGCACAACGAATGAACGTAGACACTAGTAGACAGAGTAAGCAATAGGTAGTTTTAGTAATGGTTTGAAGTTGACACTGTGTACTAATAGTGCAAAATGTCCGATTAACAGGTGCCTTTCGGAAACATTACTTTTAGTACAATACCCAGTACTAGTACCTATCAGTACATCGTACGTGTACTACCCAAGACTAGCCCACATTATATAAATAATTTTTATTGTAAAACTAGTATAATATATTATGTTTTCCTAAGATGATCTTATCAGGAGATGTTCCAGCAACTCTCATCATCTTGACACCACTATAAGAGCTATTATATTATGGACAGAAATGTTGGGGAAACATTTAGAAGGTGTCCCCAATGTTATGCATGTTCCCTTGCCATATTCGGAACTGAAGTGATATATTTGAATATAAAACATAAGATTCATTTGATAGAGTTAATTTCATCAATACCTGAGCTGCGTCTTTAGTTTTTCAACACCCCAATACAGCGCTCAACAGTATTGGGTGCAGTTACATGCAAATTATAATAGTAATGCTCTGCACTACTTTCAGTGCTGTTTAAAGACTGATTGATCATCCACTTGCACAAGGTGTATCATAAATTAATTTTAACATTTTATAATAAATTCTTTAATATAATAATAATACATTTTAAAACTACTTAGCTAATAATGGACTGATACAAAACTGAAATATTATACAAATGGTTTCTAGACATTGTACATTTTATTCCAAGAAATAGGGTATTAAGCTTAATTTAAGTGTTGGCTGAGTGGATTACTGGAGTCATGAGCTGCATCAGGGATATTGGCATGGATACACATGATGCTTAGATCAGAATCACATACCTATAAATTATGGAAAACATTAAGTAAACTGAAAAATTAATCATTGATAAATAAATTGGTACAAATAAACATGTAGATTTAATAGGTAGGGTTACATTGTCTACACTGACTCCCCTTCAGCCTTAATTACAGATTTCAACAATAGGCAATCATCTCTTAGGTAAAGTTTAATGTTTTTTTTAGGAATAATGTTGATATCTTCTTCGCAAGGCTTTTTATTAGCCTAAACACTTATAAATGTATCCTGGCATATTATGTCCAATTTATTTTCACTTTTTCTCGACAAACCACGAGCTTGTTGGCGATTTCGAACCTCTTTAACTCGACGATCTTTATTGTGAGCTGTGTGAGATTTAATATTTGCCTCTGTAAAGTTGCGAGTTGAAGCATATTTCTTTAGGCAGTTTAAGACTTATCTACTGAATTAACGTAAATAACTACATAAGCACATAACACTCACAAAAAAGCAGTGACTGCTTGATGGCAGTTTATAGTGTTCAATACAATTGACACTAATTGACAGTTGCTTCAATTCCAGTGGTGTCATTGAAACAACTGTCAATTCTGTCAAATATTTGTAGATCTCACCGTTTACCAAACTAGGTATTCCACAAACATCAATAACATTTAGTATCAGTGACAATTCATCGAGAGGCCATTGGTCTTTTATTTAGTTCGCAGATTACGAAAAGCACCAAACTATTCCGGTGTCTTTACTAGGAGTAACTTAGGCTATTTTTTAACTCAGAAGAAACCTGTCGATCGGGATCGCACTCGAGGCCTCTCGAGGAAGTTAACATCTCATATTACGAACAATTCTATTATGTCTCAATCTCAGAATGGATGTAGAAGAGGCACGTGGCACTAAAGAGCTAATTATTATTGACACGACTATTAACCAATAACTTCGCCGTAACCGAAAAGATCAACATGTTGAATAGATTATAAAAAGGCTTATGACTCTGTGCCACATAAGTTGCTGTTGAGGGTGATGGAGTTGTACAAGATTGATGCAACTCTATGCACTTTTCTGGAGACATGTATGCAGCAATGGAGAACGGTTCTTTGCTATCAAGAATGTCGGCAATCTCAAGGCGATGGCGAATATATAATAATTAGGCAGTTTTGCTTGGCTTTGAATCCTCCCAGCACTATGTTGGAGGGTTAGGGGTTGGGCTATCGTTTGCAGAGAGGTGGTAAGGCTATATCCCACCTCCTTTACTTGGATGGTGCTTCCAGGAAAATAAAAAAAGTTGAAAATTAAGATAAATTATGGTACTTACAAATTTTCGCGAAAATCTACGTAAAATCTGGGTAGGTACGGAACCCTCGGCGCACGAGTTCGACTCCTACCTGACCGGCTTTTTGTACATAAATCAATTTAAAAATGTAATTTACAAGCATATTTAATGAAATAAATAGAATAATAATTATTACTGATTATAGAACTTTAATAATAGACACTATAATTCTTAGACATTATGAAATTCGGACTTTTGAAAATAGGAACATCGAAATTTCAAATAAAATATTTCGGAGTATTTGGGTGTTCCCATTGTATAAGACAAAATAACCCAATGTAGCAATAGTTATAGGCTTTTAAATGTAGTGGTCTTTGCTCACAGCTGAGCTACACATTTTCCGCCTCCGCCTGGACCAATACTTTAAAAGTGTCAGTTAAATGTCAAAAATGGCTGGCAGAGAAATGTCACTAACATAGGCGCCTTGATAAAATAAATATATTTATTTTTACAACGTAGTATTTTCTACGTAATTAATCTTAAGTTTCTAAATTTCTATGTACAAAATGGAAACCAAAGTAGCACTAGTAACAGGAAGCAACAGAGGCATAGGATTCGAGATCGTAAAAGGACTGTGCCAAAAGTTCGATGGTGCTGTATACCTTACTGCTAGAAACGAAGAAAGGGGTCTAGAAGCCGTTAAGAAGTTAGAAGAATTAGGCCTAAAACCTTTGTTTCACGTTTTGGATGTCACATGTGAAAAGAGTGTCCAAGACTTCGCCGCACACATATCTGCTCATCACGCGGGTATTGATGTTTTAGTAAACAACGCCGGTGTTCTCGATTTTGATAAATCGGTGTCCTCCTACGAAGATGCAAAAAAACTTATTGATACAAACTTTATGAGCTTGTTGACTATTACGAAGATATTATACCCTCTTCTTACAAATACCGCACGAATTATTAATATAAGCAGCGATTGGGGGTTACTATCTAATATACGTAAACAGGTATGGTTGGATACATTGGTTAAGGAGGACGTAACTGTTGATGAAATATTGCACTTTGTAAATGAATTTCTACAGGCAGCTAAAAATGGTAAAAGTTCATATATTTCTTTTGCGGGTCATTATGGAGATTATAAAGTTTCGAAAGTGGCTATGTCAGCACTCACGTTTGTTCAGCAGAGGGAATTCACTGAACAAGGCAAAGATATTTCTATTAATTGTGTTCATCCTGGATTTATAATGACTGATATGACAAAAGGTATGGGTGATTTCACTCCAGAAAGAGGGGCTAAAGCTCCTTTATACTTAGCTCTGGAAGCACCTCAGTCACTTAAAGGAGCGTTCTTATGGCATGATTGTCATCGAGTTAATTGGGATGACTAAGGATGTAATGGCTTTTTAAATTGTTAGTGTTACAACCATGTTAATCCTGTGATATCAGTGTCACATGCACTTTAAACAACAATACATAATTTCTTTTAGTTAAAATATTTTTTATTTATATACCTATTTTCTACACAATTTTTTTTTATGTAGGTAGGCACTTATTAGATTGACCATAAATTTTTAGGTTCTTTTTTGTTTAATTTTGAAATTAAGTACAGTGAGGCAAAAACATTCTAATTGGATTTAGAAATGTTTAGCCTAAGTAGAATATGATATCAGACAGTAAAAATAGAATTTGAATAACAAAGGCTCAAAATTATTTTCATTAGGATTTAAATTAACAAATCATAAGATTGCTGTTTATGTAGGTACCTATTAGAAAAGATAATTATTTGGCAAGAGTTTATTAGAGGAGTTCATTGACTGTTGTTATTAACTGTTTATTAGCTCATATCAGATTTAAGAGGTTAAATTTAAATCTTTTTATAGTATATAAGTACATTGTTTTCTAACGATACTTCTTATGATCCTTTCTTTTTTGTGGGTCATGGCCTGTTATGTGTTATACACTCATTAAATTATTTTTTATTTTATTAGACTAAATTATTTTAAATTTACTGGAAAATTGACTGTTTCTGTAAAAACATGATTTTGGAAAAACTACAATGACCATAGTATAAAAAATCAAATACATGGATTTTGAAAATTATTTAATTATTCTTTGTTTTCCACAACTTAGGTCTAACCCTTAGGTGATTTATAACCTTACACATACACTTGCCATGCGACAGCTATGCTCCGGCTTAAAGGGGCATAGAAACTACTTACTTTTCACCATGTGAGTGAGGTTCACCACCACTCTATTTCTGGGAGGGGTGGCACTGAAGGGCAGCAACTTGTGTCTCTAGTAGTCACTTACCATCAGGTGACCTGTCTGCTCATTTGCCACCTATACCATGAAAAAAACATCTCTACATTACTTACAGTAGTTGTTAAGCTTCTTTTGCGATTTTAAAAGTTTTGTGCAACTATCATCATCAACAAGCCTTAAAAGTCCACTGCTGGACATAGTCCTCTCCTTAGTAAGGAGGTTTTTTCCTATTATACCACGCTGGCCAGACGGATTGGTATAGGGATTATGTCAAGTTTTTTGCAGTGCTGTTGTCTTGCGTAGTGTGCTCCCTTAGTCGGCTCTTACGACACCTACGGGATTAATAGGGACACTACGTATTCTTAATCTGTCACCACACGGACTATAAAACTACAACTAGAAAACTTGTAAATTGTAAAGCGATATTTTTACACAAACATACCAATCTACATTATTTGAGAATATTAGTGGTAAGTAGCAATAATCATTATGCACAACATTGTTTTTGTTTTGTAAGTACTGACTAAATACAATTGTTAAGTTTAATCTTAGTGTTATTGCTTTTAGTATACTTAACTATCAAAAAAAATATTAGAATCAATATTTAACCTATAATCTAAACCTATAATCACGGCATACATACACGTAGTCTATAAAAGTCAACAGGAATAAGGTTAGTTGGCTCGCTTTGCAATTCTTCATTCCGCCTTAAGTGTGGCTCCAGATAGAGGGTTTTCCCTCCACCTCTTACAGTGGCCAGCCACGAATTGTCAAAATCTGAGTGCCTCAACGTTGTATAATTAAGATATCCGATAATGGCGGACGTTCCCTGGCTCTTACCATTTTAGGCACAGAGAATTGTGTTGTTTCTGTGGGTTCGAATCCGACACACTGCTCCCCCTCGTAAACCTGTATTATTACGAATTTCAGCTACACACAATGTCGCCATGATATATACAATACAAATTTAAAAAAATGAAACCAATAGCTTCATATAGGAGGGTATAAGGGGTCTTAAGTATAAAATAGTGAAAATATAGAATAAAAGGAATTGTACAATTACCTTTTTCTACTGGCCTGTTGGCCTGGTGGTTAGTGACTGACTGCTAAACCAGATGACGTGGGTTCGATTAAAGGGCCCACCCAGAACCAATAATTATGTGATGAGCACGACCATTTGTTCTTCGTCTAGCTATAAGTTTTATCATTAACATCAGCAGTTTATAAATAATATGTATATATTTCGAAATGTAAAAGTATCTTTATAAGCAGTCTGGTTACCATGGTACAGGCTCTGGCTAGTTTGAAATCAGACGGCCGTGTGTTACATACATACTTCAGCAGAATATTATAAGTCAATTCAATGATTAAATTAGTTTTACAAAGTTTCAATTTTGTTCACGTAGGTACGATATTCGTAAGGTTCAGATGAATTGTTATCACAATATTCATTTAAATGAAACTTATATCAAACGGGCAAGTAATTTAAGCCGGTGACCGGGTAAACTAAAAATATAGGTAAAACACATCGAAAAGCTACAACGTAAAGTTTAAATGTAAGTACTTTTAGAGTTTTGGGCACTAAGCTCTAATTTAAGACGGGGCTGGTGAAGCAGATATTTTTATTATGTAAAAATTAACAATTACCTACTATGTAGTTGTGTCAGTACTGGAAGTACCATTTCATTGTCCTGCTAGTGAGTCTTAACTGTTTATATTCAGCCGATAACTCGCTAATGACAGCACATTTACTCGAAACAAAAATCGATAAATAACTCAACCTATTAAATAATATTATTAGTCTCCTACTGATAACATCAGAAAAACAATCTATATTATATAAGAATAAGTAAGAAATATACATTTTTATTAAATTATTAGGGTGTGTATTAATTTATCAACATATTCATCATAGTCCTAATAAACATATTCACTAGCAAGGTCCTGAAGCTTCATCCTGAACTACGGAATTTTTAATGCGCTAATGCAAGCCTCTGCTTTTTTCTCTTCTCTACTACTTTTTCTTTTCTCTACTAATATTATAAAGCTGAAGAGTTTGTTTGTTTGTTTGTTTGTTTGAACGCGCTAATCTCAGGAACTACTGGTCCGATTTGAAAAATTCTTTCAGTGTTAGATAGCCCATTTATCGAGGAAGGCTATAGGCTATATATCATCACGCTAAGACCAATAGGAGCGGAGCACCAATGAAGAATGTTTCAAAAACGGAGAATTTTTTTTATTATTGAGAGACGCAGACGAAGTTGCGCGGGTCAGCTAGTAAAATATATTTTTTAGGTCAAGTTTTTTGCAAGTATTTGAACGGGCAACAGGTTTAGGCTCTTAAATGTAGGAAATATTTTTCTCGATATAAATAATATAAAATAATAGTTTTTCGGACATCTGACACACAACGCTATGTAGTTTCAAACTAAGCAGATCTTGTACTATGAAAGCTACATTGACTGATGGAATACTTATACTTTTTTTTTAAATAAATACATATTATACATAGAAAACACCCAAACTCCAAAACAAATATTTGCAGATCATACAAACGTTTGGTACGACCCGGTAATCGAATCCGAGACCTCAGCCCAGCAGTCGCATACGCTACCACTGCACCACCGAGACAGTCAATATATATCTAGTCAGTATAATACACAATCAATATAATAACAATATATAGTCAATATAATAAAAAAATATACAAGTGCCCAATTATCATTTGTTATACATTGTGGTGGAAAATAAAAATATTATTATTTGATTCGTTCAACATGAACATTTTAAACGAAAAGTAAATGGTAAATGGAAAAATAAATGATAATAAGATTATTGATGAAAAGCTACAAACTAAGTTAACTAACTAAGGAATAGAATAGAATATATATTATTGTTTCTTTAAACAAGTAAGTGGTGACGGACTAAGAATACAGAGTGTCACCACCCCTATTCATCCTGTGGGTGTCGTAAGAGGCGACTAAGGGAGTAGACTACGCAGGACAACAGCACTGCAGAGAGAAAGAAAACTTGACACTAACCCTATACCAACCCGGCCAAAACCACCTTTCTAAGGAGAGCCCTATGTCCAGCAGTGGACTATTAAAGGCTGTTGATGATGATGAAACAAGTAATGAAGATAAATTAGTGTTTGTGTGTATTTTTTATGTTGGCCAAATGAGTCAGAAGTCTACAATTGTAGACAACCTGATAATAAAATATTGACTCTAGAAAACCTAACAAATCCACCTCAGAAAGTAAACTGAAGGTAGTGGCTTTATGTGTTAAATAAACCAGAATAAGGAATGCCAACAAGTGGATTTGTTGCCGGTATTTATTTGTGTCACGTCTCAGATACTTAGCAACAAATCTCATTACGGACGTACCAATGCACAAGCAGGTCCTTGTATGGGTTCTGATGTCGTTCGTTGTCTTGCCTGCTTGCTGCTAATTGTGTTATAAAATCGTAATGGTGGATAGTAAAGGGGTAGTGCAATATCTACCTAACCTGTTATGTGCATGTGATCGTATGGCTTCAGCACGCGTGTAACTGTATTTACTATAGCCTTACGATTACCTACTTTGTATAAATGTAGATAATTGTATTTAAAGCGTGTTAAAACTATTGACGCTCATTTCAATCAAGCAGTCGGTTTTAAGTCTACCTACCTGCTTTTATATATTTATAGGTGCTGAAGTTTACCTCCGCAAATATTACAGTAATTTTTTGTAATAATTAGCTTATCCTAATATTTAATTTTAAATACGTCTAGGGAGTAAGTAAATTGCATATTTCCATTATCAAATCATGTATTTGTTTAATACATACTTATTTGTGATCAACAGATTCATAGCGTGGGTCTTTCTGGCTCTCTCGAATCCTATTTTTAGCTTATATATATACATATAAGCTATATATATATATATAGATATATAAGCTTATATATATGTATATAGACTTTAAATAAATTTAAGGTATTAATCACAAGCCGCGCTTGCATTCGAGCATTTGCGGGGTTAACTCCTACTATAAATATATAGTAGAATACCTATACTATTGGCGTAACCCAAGTTATAACACAAACATTAAGATTTGTTTAGAAAGGTTAACAAAGTATAGATTAGA